TTTCTTTCTTTCTTTCTTTCTTTCTTTCTTTCTTTCTTTCTTTCTTTCTTTCTTTCTTTCTTTCATTCATTCATTCATTCATTCATTCATTCATTCATTCATTCATTCATTCAATTTCTATTGCCACCCATCCCAATGATCAGTTTTGGGCAGTTTACAATTTTTGTTTGTTCGGAGCTTCTGCACAGAACCTGCTATTGGGTGCTATGGAAACTGGATATCCTTGGGGTATCTCTGCTCTCATTATTAAGGAACTTCTGACAGCTTATAAAAATGTGGGTATCGTCTTGCTTGATATGCAAGCTTTTGATGTTATGCCTTTAAAGCTGTTTGCTTGAATTAATAATAAAGCTTAAATTTTCTTTATTCACTGTTGGGCTAATTGTCTCTGGATCGAAAACAGCCAATTGCATGGGCACCTGATCAATGCCCTGACACTAGGCAAAACAATTGCCCTAAGTAGGCAGTTTACAATAAAAAAATATAACAGTATAAAAACAGAGTTAAAAAGCAGAGATAAAAACAGATTTGAACAAGATTCAAATGAAGATGTTAAAAAGTTAAAAGAGATGGAGGGACTACCATCAAGACACCAACCACCTCCAAGGTATTATATCAAGTTTAGACACCCCCCCATTCCAATTAGCAGACCAGAGTCTTGACACTCTTCCAGAAAGACAGAAGAATGAGGGTAAGAGGTACCAAAGGACAGAATCATCATCAGATGATACTCCCAGTTGATATTCTTTAACTAACAGGATCTTCAAAATACCCTCCCTGGCTGACTGAGTGAGATGGGTTGATGTAATTGGGACAACCTGATCCAATGCCATAGTTGTTAAAGATATAAAACAGGATGGTGTTATTTCCAAAAAGTAGGATTTGATATTGTCAGACTCCAAAGAAAGAGATGATGAAGTTCTTTCAAGCAGTTGCCTTTATTATTGCATTCCTATAGACAGAAGTCTTGCCAAAGTAAAGCAGACTATTCACACCATCAAGCATATATTATGAGAATTCCCAGGGAGGAGCCATCTTGACTCTTTCCCCCACACAAACTTTGCTGTATTTTGCTCCTCTGGGATGCAGTCCTCTCTCCTGAGCATCCAGAGAACATTATACCACGGACATTTTATGAAGAACTCTATTGAGTCTAGGAATTATGTAACACAATCATTTTGTGCAAGTGGAAAAGGATGGTCCTCCACATATTGAAGAGTGGATTTAAGATATATGATTTGGTTGATTTTTGAGATCTCCCTATTTTATAGATATAACAAGATGTTTCTAGATTTCATTATATGGTAAAGGGTTAGGCAAGTTGTATATTAATATTAATAATATTTTCTTCTTTTTAGATCTTAGTTCATTTATAACACTTTTATATGCTTGATGATCGTAATCACTGTTACAGTTTTCTTTATTTTTGTTTGTTAAATTCAGTAATAAAAAACAGGAACATCTGACTATGAGAAGCATAGTACTGTTCTTTTCTGGATCCCTGTTAGTTTGATTTTCCTTGTTNCACTTCACGTGATCTTGATTCTATCCCTCTGTTTATGCAGCCTAGAACTGTGTTGGCTTTTTTGGCAGTTGCTGCACACTGCTGGCTCATATTTAGGACTCCAAGATCCCTCTCACAGTTATTACTATATGATCTGTTTATCACACAATTTCTAAAACTAGATAAAGAGAACCAATTAAACACATAGATCAAAACAGCTTAGCTATGGTAGTTGATCAGAGATAGAGACCTAAATAAAGATGAATGAAAAATAAATCACCTTTGGGAATTTTCCATGAGTTTTTACACCCTAAATTGATAGGTGTGCATTTCTATAAACTAAAAAAAGGCTCATGAACTCTCTCACAAATCAGTTGTTTGGCAGCAGCATAGGGAAAAGATGGGATGATTCTGTATTGTGTTATAATATTGCACTGCAGCACCTGGGATAACTGCAGGAATTGCAGAGAAATGAAGTAATGTTTTCTTAGAAAACCATTAACTTTTACTTACATAAGTACGCTAGCATTCAACTTGTTATATTATCTGTTTTTAAACTCTCACCATTCACAACTGAACGCTAGTTTCTACCTGCTCAATTAGTGATTATATCTGAGTTCACTGACAAATAATATTTTTCTCATGAAATGTAATTCATGAACAATGGAAAATGAAAGCCATGCAGAGATATATTTTATCCCAGGTTGCCGCCAGAACCTTTTCTTCTTGGAGGACAAATGGGTTGCCTCCAATGAACAAAAGGTGGAGATGGTATTTTTTGACTAGTTCTTATCAAGAAGTGAAAGCTAAGTTGTCAACATACAGACATAATATCCTAGAACAATTATGGTTAACCTTTTCCGGACTGAATGCCCAAAGTGTGTGCATGCACGTGCGAATGTGCGCATGCCCCAAACCCCAATAATGCAATTAGTGCATGCCTCCCACATGAGCCCCACCATCCAGGCATGTGTGTGCCTTCCTGCGTGGCAGACCCGAAGATTAGATGGCCGATAGTCAGCACACATTCATGCTCTGCAGAGCTGAAGAAGGGCGATGGCTCGCATGCCCAGAGAGGGTGCTGTGTGCCACCTGTGGCATGCATGCCGTAGGTTTGCCATCATGATCCTAGAATATGAAAAAGTCTTACTGCATGATGGGCAAACCAGTTCTAGCCTGGGATTGCTTTGCGGATGGAGGCTATTCTTATTCATTCTTCTCCTATCCTCTCCACTGAGAGCGGATGTATCATAAAAGTGTATGGAGATTCTCAGATGACGGATGTCACAAAGTTGCTTTTTCAAAAGGCAATTAGACTTCCTTTGTTTTTCCTCAAAAACGTTTCGCTTCTCATTCAAGGAGCTTCTTCAGTTCCGAAGTGAGTCCACTTGCAAAAAAGCACCTTCCGAAAAAGCACCGTTTGGACAGATGTATTGCAATGTTAGGGTTTCCCGTAATGGTAAAATAGGAAATCAGAAGGCAACCATAACTGCAAATGGCATTTTAAATCCCAATCAGGGAACTACTGGTACTAGCAGACCAATTCATTCTACTACTCCAGGGCGGGAGGGAAACAAATATCTCAAGGATTTCTGAAATAGTGTTTAATTTTTGTAGGGTATATTATTAGCAACTTGAAAACTCATCCAATTTTCTCTCTGTCCCACCTCGTACTAAACAAAA